CACTTAGGGAAATAATGAGGAGAGATAAAAATTTAAAACTAATTTTTACTTGTGTGTATGTACATAAAGTTTCCAGCAACAATATTTTAATTGTCCAGTTATTTTTGTTATTTATTTTGACTATTTATTAACAATTTTCATAAGATAAGAATTCATTAGTGCTTCCTGATATATATATATTCAGTTTTTGCCATCCCTCCAATATTGACTGTTGCATAGTTTTCAGTACATTGTAACATCACCCCTAGATTTCTGCTGTCTAGATCTGAAAATACATTTGACAATTGACAAATCTCTTGTTTCTTTTTTTGAGCCTATAAATATGAAAACAGTAAAGTGGGTCAGGTACGGTGACTCATGCCTATAATCCCAGCACTTTGGGAGGCCGAGGTGAGAGAGTTGCCTTCAGACCATGGGTTCAAGACCAGCCTGGGCAACTACAATAAATCAAAAAAGTAGTCAGGCATGGTGGTGCATGCCTGTAATTCCAGTTACTTGGAAGGCTGGGGCAGAAAGATCACCTGAGCCCAGCAGGTCGAGGCTGTGGGGGCCATGAGCGTGCCCCTGCACTCTAGACTGGGTAATGGAGTGAGACTCCAACTCAAAACAAAACAAAACAAAAAAACAGTAAATACAAGTCATGAAAGAATAACTAATATCTTTCATATGTTATTTCTGATCCCTTTTATTTGTTTTTATGTGTTTTGAGAAATGAATACACATTTATTCCTAATATTCGTAAAACATATAACTTAAAAATAAAAATTTTAAAAAAACGAATTGACAACTATTATCAATATATGCATCTGTTGAGAATATTTTATGGAAAATGATGATATAAAAGATATAATTATACTCTATACACTGCATTTTAAAATGAATATTTTACTTAAAGGTATATTGTTTAATACATGATTTACATTGAATAATATATATGTAGACCATAATTGTAATGGGTGCAGATAATTTTATTGTATATTTGTTATATTAACCAAAGCATTAAAGTAAACTTTTTAGTTGTTTCAGTAATTTTTGCCAAATTAACAGTGCTTTTAATACACATTATTCTCTATCTACTCATCTATTTTATCCTCTGCTAATTATTTCCTTTAATTAAAAGTATCTTTTTTGGCTTTTGTTTTTTTTGGGTTTTTTGAGTTGAAGTCTCACTTCATTACCCAGACTGGAGTGCAGTGGCATGCTCATGACCACCCCAATATCCACCTGCTTGGCTCAGGTGATCTTCTGCCACAGTCTTCCAAGTAGCTGGAACTACAGGCACATACTACCATGTCCAGCTACTTTTTTGATTTATTGTAGAGATGAGATCTTGCCATGTTGCCCAGACTGGTCTTGAACTCATGGACTCAGACAATCCTCTCACCTTGACCTCCCAAAGTGCTGGGATTACAGACTTGAGCCACTGTGCCCAGCCAAAAGTACTTTTTAAAAATGTTTATCCTCGCAGAATAAAATGATCAGCAATGCAAAGTTATATGTACAAAAATATTACTTATACATCATCTATATATACTTGAAAAAGATAGTCAACAAAAGTATTATTGAAGCCAGGAATGGTGGCTCATGACTGTAACCCCAGTACTTCGGGAGGCTGAGGTTAGAGGATTGCTTGAGCCCAGGAGTTTGAGACCAGCCTGGGCAACACAATGAGACCCCATTTCCTTGAAAAAAAGGAAAGATAGAAAAAATATTACTGACATATAATGATTTTTAAGATGTAACCTAGGTTAAAAAGGCAAGTTTTATTTTATTTATGGTCTGATTTTTCTGATAATCAATGATGGATAAACATATATATATATATATATATATATATATATATATATATATGAAAATATACTGTTAGAGAGAATCATTTGATCTCTGAATATATATGTTCCTTTATGTGTTTTACCATTTAGTCAGCACAGTTCACAGTTACAAGTGTGATGAGTATCACAATGGAACATGAAGTGGGCTATGTAATTACAGAGCACATTCATCCATGCAAATCTAGGGAGTCAGGGAAGGTATCTCTAAGGAGAAAATTTTAAAATGAGATATGACAAATATTCAGTTAGGAGAAGATCCAAGAAAGGAGAAAGGTGTTATAAAGTAAGAGAAACAGATGCAAACATCAAGTGTGAAAGCTAGAACAGAACTTCTGAGGCATAAAAAATAAAAACAAAATAACTAATATGTACAGAATGTATAGCCGGGGGAAAAGAGACAGAGATGCATCCGGAATGAAGAGCCCAACTACTAAGGATATATAAATCGGGATTTAATTTAGCACTTACAATAAAAGTAACATCTTCTTCCAATAGAAAGGGTTTAGATTTACAAACAAAACATTGGGGACACTGTAACAGAAATTGGCATGAGGCTGGGCGCGGTGGCTCAGCCTGTAATCTCAGCACTTTGGGAAGCCGAGGTGAGAGGACTGGCCTGGGCAACTTGGTGAGACCTCGTCTCTACAATAAATCATAAAAAATTAACTGGGAATGGTGGCAGGCATCTGTAGTTTCAGCTACTTGAAAGGCTGATGCAGAAAGATTGCCTGAGCCCAGCAGGTCGAGGCTGCGGTGGCTGTGAAAATGCCACTGCACTCCAGCCTGGGCGACAGAGTAGTGCATGACAGTAACTCTGGTCTGTATGACATTAGGTTTATATTCTTAAACATTGTGCCTTTTTGAAATTGTTTAAGCTAGGTAGTAATGTGATCAGAATTGTAATATAGAAAAATTACTCTCTTTAGTGTAGAAAATTGGCATAGAGAAGGAGTGAATACAGCATGATTAGGAGATTGCTGCAGTGGTCCAGATAAAATGTGAAGAAGGACGCAACCAAGACAGCAGGCACAGAGGTAAAGATAGATGGGAAGAGAAGATGTTTCAGGGACGGAGAGGCTACATATAATGATTATTTTGATTTCGGGCTTAAAAGCAAAGGAGGAGTAAAATATGAAGTTCGTGCTACTTGTTTTGACTACCATAAAAAAAAGTATTTGAATAATCAAATTATTCAGAGACGGAGTGGGACACCGAATAGCTGAGGCTCACATCTAATGGGAATTGTGAAAAATATGATGTAAGACAGCATGGCATGGAGAGGCTAGTTAAAACTCCATTTTCATTTAAAATTTCCTCTTTTGGTAACCTTGAAAGATGCAGTGCGTCATCATTTATTAAAGTCACCATGCTGCTCAGTAGTTCACTAAGGCTTATTTCTCCTAAATAACTGAAATTTTGTACCCTTTGATCAACATCTCCTGCTTCCACTCATCCTCCTTCCAATGTTTTCACTACAAAAAATGGTAAGTATCTGAGGTGATAGATATGTCAACTAGTTTGAGTTAATCATCCCACAATGTACACATATGTCAAAACATCATATTGTAGCCGGGCTCGGTGACTCAGCCTGTAATACCGCACCTTTGGAGGCTGAGGTGAGTGGATTGCCTGAGCCCACGGGTTCGAGACCCGCCTGGGCAGCAAGACCTCATCTCCACAATAAATCAAAAAATCAGCCGGGCGTGGTAGCACATGCCTATAATTCCGGCTACTTGGAAGGCTGAGGCGGACGGATCGCTGGAGCCCAGCAGGCGAGGCTGCGGTGGCTGGCAGCGGCCACTGCACTCCAGTCTGGGCGACAGAGTGAGAGTGCAACTCAAAAAAAAAAAAAAAAAACTACATCATATTGTACTCTATAATTTTATAGTATATACAATGATTGCTTATTAAAATAAAAAAGAGACTACAATTTCCAATAGTGTTAGCATTGCATAAACTAAGATTTTTTCAATGCAAAATTTTTGTGATTACATGATTTATTTGTTTTTAAATACTCAATGATTAGCATTCTACATTAAGAAGTTATATTTACAGATGGAAATGTATCAACTAAAGGAAGAAAATTTATGATAAATGTTCTAATTTTTTTCTTAAGATTTATATGGCCAGAGGAAAAGCTGTGTGTTTTACATCACTTGAAATGTAAAATGTCCATAAAATATGTCATTGTCCAAAAATGAGAACATTGTAGTTGAAAAGTACTTTCCTAAAGTAATATAGAAAATGAAAGATTAAAATTCTCTCTCATGGTAAGCGGGTCCCCTCCTACTGTGGGAGCTTCTCTGTCCTCTCAATAAATCCTGGTTTCTCACTAAAGAAAATTCTCTCTCTCTTTCTATGATTGGTCTCTCTGAATACAAAACCTGTGCTTCTATAAAAAATGTTATACATTAATTCCCCCTTTATCCTTGTTTTCACTTTCTGCCTGTTTCAGTTCCCCATCATGCCTAATAAAAATGTATTTTGAGAGAGATACCATATTTAAATAACTGTTATTACAGCATATTGTTATAATTGCTCCATTTTATCATTAAATATTGTTGTTAATCTCTCATTGTTACTAATCTATAAATAAACTTTATCAGAGGAATGTATATAGGAAAAAATATAGTGTATATAGAGTTCGGAACTATTCAAGGTTTTAGACTTCCACTGAGGGTTCTGGAATGCTTGCCCTGATGTTAAAAAAGGACTACTGTACTAAAGGAGGATAAAATCAGTTAAAAATTAAAGTATTCATTCTAAACGTATCATTGTAACAAGTTCAGAAATTCTTCATGTCATATTTTTGAGTTTAGTGATTTTAAAGTTAACATTTGACACTCAAGATCTAGATTAGTGGATTTTTAAAATTTACTAGAGGCTTAAACATTGGCAACATTTTATTTATAAATATCTTTGAAATACTGTAATGAAGATACATATTAAATCATTATATTATTTTTACATCTAGTACTTATGATGTTTAAAAACAACTGTTAAAAATTTTGAATATGAGAAGAACTGATATATCCATTTTTCCTCCAGTGACAATTAAGATAACCATTATGATTATCACTATAGTGACATTATGATATGTGCCAAAATTATTTTTTCCATCATGATAGTGCATACATTTATAGAACTCTTTTTTCTACCTCTCTGAAGCTTCACACTGACCAAGATAAAGGAGACGGAAATTTAAAATACATATTAACAGGAGACGGGGCTGGCAGTCTGTTCGTTATAGATGAAAATACAGGAGACATTCATGCTGCAAAGAAACTAGACAGAGAAGAAAAATCTTTGTACATTCTTCGTGCCAAGGCTATAGACAGAAAGACTGGGCGGCAGGTGGAACCGGAATCAGAATTTATCATTAAAATCCATGATATCAATGACAATGAACCAAAATTTACAAAAGACTTATACACTGCCAGTGTTCCTGAAATGTCTGGAGTCGGTAGGTATATATTAATCCAGGTAAACTAATTTCTATGTATTTGTTTGCTGAGGTAATTATTATGGGCATCTGATTATGATTTGTGGCCTCTTTCAAAATGAGAGCTATAACTGGAAACTACTATTTAGAGCTATATCTGGAAACTACTATTTAGTGCAAACTAACTCTTCAAATTATTGCCAAGTCTAAATACCTTAATGTTTCTTGTTATATTGAAACTTATATCAAGAGGATTATGGAGAACAGTTATTTCACTGTATTTTAATAAACACCTTCAACTCTACTCAATTGACATTCATATGACAACCAAGTAGAGTGTATTTCTGCCTCAAATGAAAGGAATAATAGATAGTGTAAGCAGTTTTGAACAATTTTGCTTGCATTTTGAGTAATAATAACCAATGTTTGCATTTGACAAATTTCTTCTGAAGTATTGTCTCATTTGATCATTAAAAAAAGCTTATGTGGTAGGCATGAGAAACAGAACTTTAAATCCCCATTCTGTTAATTAGGAACTCAGGACTCAGAAAGATTAAGCAGTGGAATTAAGATCAAATAACTTGGTAGCATCATGACAAAATTCCAAGTCTTTTCATGTTATTTTGGTGCACATTTCAGTACTGAATGTTAGTTTTTCATGCAAACTGAAAACCATTGTTTCCGTTTTAAGTCCGCCCACAATTTTAATTACTTGTTGTTATGCAAAGTTTTGATCTGTATATGTGACTATATTTAATTCCATTAATTTGAAAAGTTTTTGTTTGCTAAGATAAGATCTGTCCCTTAAATCATAAAATATTTCTTGAAAAACAGTGATATAATTATCTAAATGCAAGAAAAAATAAAAGTGTTTATAGTGAAATAAACAGTGATATATACTTACTATATCTAAAATATGTAATTTCCCAAACTGATACAATTTAGTTGAATACTGTTTCAAAATCAGTTTTAAATATATAATTTTGACATTGTTATAACTTGTTTAGTCTAAAATATTTTCTATATAGAAAGAAGCAAACATATTCACTTATACTGAATGTTTGATGTAAAATCTTTCTTAACTATGTGTGCTATCTAGCATCAAGAATAAAGAGTTTATAAATAATTTGTTCTAATCCCAAATGAAATAATTGTCTGAGGAAATTGCAGTTCCATTTACCCTTCCAGGTAGTCACTACAACATTATAAAAGGGATTTATTAAATTAGACAGGAGTCCTGTGAAATTATAAAGACCTAGAATATAACATGAGTGGCTACTTTTTCTTTCATATTTTTAATATCTATTGTTAGCCTGGTACAGTTGCATGGAAAGTAGGGGCTTTATCTATATAGGTCTACCAGTAAGCCAATTTAGACACACACCATGGTCACTTTATGGGTTTATATTTGAGATGAAGTCACATCTAAAAGAATACTCTTCTTATCAACTTCCTAATGATGATTATTTAAAATTCAATTAATTTGTTTTTCCAGTTAACATATTTCACTTTTGTAAAACATTATTGCATTTCTTCAGTGTATGTTATTTTGCAGAATATGTGACACCTGACAATCCAAAAGCTTTCACTCATCCTTCCTCAGAAAAAATTCATATATCTAGAAAAGTAAAAAGCATAATTAATATGATATAAATATTTGAATATAGTAAAGTTTTATAATATTTGATTTAAATTTGAATACACTTTAAACTTTTTAAACTGTACTTCATTTTTTAAAAAAGAACATTTATCTATCACAGACTATTAATATTTAAACTCAAATAAGCTGTATTTCTTCCCATATGATTTTGTGATACCAAATGGACTATTTTATCTTACTCTATTTATAAACTGTTTACTTCAGATGTATTGTTTTTTCATATAGAATGCTAGTATAATCTAGGTTATATTAGTATTTATTGAGAATGCAACAGTAGCAGAACTATGCTAAATACTTTTTTATATTATTTTTAAGAGAACTGTCATAAGTTCAATCACTTATAATAAATTAAACAATATACCAAGTTTATGCATAAAATAATTATCTTCTACATAAATTATTTGTGTAATGCAATCTACATTTTATTTATATGTTTTAAAATATAGGAAATACCACTTCTCATTAATGTAGACCACAAAAAATAAGAATTTGAGCCATTGCCAGTTGCATTATCTCCAGTCTAGAATGTCCACAAACCTGAGAAAAGTGTTTAGCAGATAACTGTGTGGCTCTGGCTACAGCTTTTGGAACTAAAAAAATAGAGATTTAAACATACAGATCAATCTTGATTCTATTTGCAGAAGACAATTATTATTCTTCATTATTATTACTAGCATCAGTGCATTAACTACTGCCTCCTTGGTCTATTTATAAACTTTGTATGTGCTTCTATTTCAAAAATATAAATGAACACATTATTATATGCAGTATGCACGTGAAAACATGCTATACTTTAATCACCTCTTTTAAAAAATAAAAATGAACCCAAAAGAATTCAACTGACTTGTACTAAATCACACAGAGTCAATTTACTACTGACTTAGTTTTTAAAAAGTTAATAGATGCAGAAATAGTTAGACAATGTAGTGCCTTACTATTGCCCTTTATTGCTGAGTAGCGACGCATGTTCTGCAAAAAATATAATTGGAAGTCTTCCAAATTATTAATTTCGAGTATTTTTCTTATGTATTATTTTAAATAAAATGCTTCTTTTAGTCAAAGTAAATCCAAATAAGAGAATAAGAGGAAATAATAACCTTGCATTTTACAATAATTATACACACATATATTGTCTATGTAAAAAGTAGCTATATTTTGTATCTTGAAAGTATGTTTCTCTTTTGCTGTAACTCCCTTACCTTATCAATAGGAAAATAAAAGACTAACTCATTGTAAGTATTGCAGTTGTGATTTTATTTGCTTGTAAAAATAAATCATTTTACAGAGGAAAGTTAAAGAGTGATATTTAGGAAATTTTTCAGGTTATATGTAACCCATATTTTAACAGCTAAAAATTAAGCATAATCACAGAATAAAGAATACATCTGTAAATGGAGTAATACTCAGGGATTCAGTGCCAATATAATTCTCATTATAGACTCAATGATTGTAATTTAAATCAAAGAGTTGAAAAATTATAAGTGTTAGCTTTGGGAGGAAATGAAGTCTAACAGAATAAGATAGATGTTGTAACTTTTTACTTCATTCTTTTTTACAATATATCTTCTGATAATCTTCTTTCATCTGCTTCCTTTTTCTATCCAGTTTTATTTCTTAAATGCATATTTATGAGAAATAAATTTAAATATATATATATTCCTAACTAAGTCTTCTCGTTTCCCCTCTGCTTCTGTTTCCCTATGTCAATTCCATTATGGCTTTTTAGTGCCAAATGCATTTCCCTACCCCCATTTTGTGTTAAATTGGAATGATTCCAATAAACTCATGAAATCTGAAATGCTATAGCATTTTCTGATCAGAAGGTGTAATCTGGATGACATATAAAGATATATAATTAAAGAAAATGTGACCTACTTTAATTAAAATGTTAGTGTCAGGTCCCTACTTTTTATATTTTTCATTTCTTATTATTATGCTATGGGTTATAATTTTCCAACTTCCTATATTTCTGTGCATTTATCTTCCCCCAAGAAAATTCCTGTCATGCATATCTGGTGATTTTGGATGCACACCTTTCAATGACTGAATATTTTTCCTCACTGCATCCCATCCTTCTCCCCATACTTTGACAGAATCCCTCTATAGTTTTTACATATCACACAAATAACTCAATCAATCCTTATGTCTTAGTGAGAGCCCTTTCTTAGAGGTTTACTGCGTGTGGATTCAGTAATGTATCCAATCATACCCATAACACCAGACAGTTAGGCCATGTGGTAAAAGATTTAGAATGGAGGTTCTTCACCAAATGTATTTAGAATAGACTTTCTTGGTCTAATTTCAATTCTGTCACCTACGGGGTTTGTGATCATGAGGAAATTCTATGTGCCCCAAGGCCTATCTCCTATGTGTATCATGAAGATAAAGTATTAAACCCATAAAGCACTGTTTAGTTTACATTAAGCATTCCATAAATGTCAGTTCTCAATATGACTTTGTGCTAGACATCCCACTGGGTTTTAAACTAGACATGGCCACTGCCCTTGACGATTTTGCATTTCACAGGAAAACACTTGCATCTAACAAAGGATAATTTCAATTTCTAGACATCTAACTCACAAACTACTTTTGATTACATTGTATATTTAAGGGGAGAAAAAGTTAAGAATTACAGAAAACTTTTTAAATTTATTATTTTATATTTAAAGTAAGATTTATTGTAAGTAAAACATGCATAAATATATAAATTCCAAAAATAATAACGTCAAAATCATACTCATCCCTTTGTCATGAGATGTTCTACATAAATTTGTCATTTGGACTTCATTATATTTTACCTAACACATTTTTGTATTTATTTAATAAGAAAGTAATATATTTATTTAAATGATTGAGGAAAAATTATATTTTGAAAAATTTAAAGAGATGCAAAAAATCAAAGTGTATTCTCTTTTATACTGTCTTAAAAACAAAATTAGTATAAAAATAAAATTAATATAAAACATAGACATCATTTTCTGTATAATTTTATTACTAAGTAGTATTGACTGCATAAGTAATTTTTCTAGAAAACAAAACTATTTTCTATAGTTCAAAACATTAAGTGTTTCTTTTTCTCACTTCGTTATTAAAAATAACATATAAATAATATGCTATCAGTGTTTAAAACATTTCTCAATATTATCATGACCTCTAGAGGTGGAACAAGTATCTTATATGTATGTGTTTAGCTTTTTTAGCAACACCATGGGATTGATTTCTCTTCTTTAAATTAGCTTCCTTCTTTTTTCTTTAGTTCAATTATTTTTACACAAGTTCAAAGAGCACATACAATAGAGAGCAAGTGATCAAAACTAAAATTCCACAACAAAAATATTATTGAAAATGTCAAAAAAATATATAATATTATTTTTACCTGTGCCTATTGTGAAACATTAAAATAATACATTAAAATAAAATTGGAATGGGTAACCCTAGAAATGTCATAAAATTGAGGCATTAACTACTTGTATTTTCAGAATATTGGTAAAGCTTGATAATTCATATTTCAATAATCTTGTGAAAACAATTTTTATTCTAACATATAGTCACACAGAGATATAAAAAATTAAATATAAATAAGAAAGTCACTTTGTTGAAATTCTGAACTCTTGTAGGGGGAATCACTGTACCACTTTTGCTTTTTTCCAGTGAGTACATGGGTGGGTAATTTTAAAATGCTAAAAGCTTTATAGCTAAGATAGATTGAGTGAGTCTGTAATGTTTCCATTCACTCACAGGATATATCAATTTCATTACAGTCGAGGAAACAGAGGCCTCAAGAGGAAGAGCTGAAATTCTCATCTTTATGCTAATTAATTTTCAGAAAACATAAAAAAGACTTGCTGAATTTATGTGTTAGTATTCAAATACATTTGCAAAACATTAATTTTTGAAATTTGTATAAGCATATACACACAAAGTTTGGGAAACATTCACTATGATTCAATTAGACATGTTATTGAGTGTAATATATGTGGGTTATAAAAATAGGTAACGGGGCTAATATGGCATTTACCCTCTTTTCAATAACTTTAAAAAGTAAGAGCCGGGCTCGGTGGCTCAGTCTGTAATCCCGCGCCTTTGGGAGGCTGAGGTGAGTGGATTGCCTGAGCCCGCGGGTTGGAGACCCTCCTGGGCAGCGAGACCTCATCTCTACAATAAATCAAAAAAAAAAAAAATCAGCCGGGCGTGATAGCGCACGCCTGTAATTCCGGCTACTCGGAAGGCTGAGGCGGAAGGATCGCCGGAGCCCGGCAGGTCGAGGCTGCGGTGGCCGGGAGCGGCCACTGCACTCCAGTCTGGGCGACAGGGTGAGACTCCAACTCAAAAAAAAAAAGTAGGTAAGAGCTAGATCAAATTTTTGAAACTTTACGGACAACGTACTGGAAAATGACTCATAAACTTATTTTACCCAAAGGAATACCTAGGGTATTCCTAGATTTCAGTTAAGGGTGATTTTAGAACCATTCCTTGAATCTTCCTAAAAATCCAGTTAACAAATAATTTAAAAAGATTTATCAGTGTATTTCATTATGCTTATCCCTGAAACTAGTTTCTTTAAAGCATACTTATCATTTAAAATATGATGGTTTCTAACAAGTTAATCACAATTTAAATTTTATAATATAAAATTAAACACAATAGTGTTAGATTGCAGTATTGCATGTAACACAGAATTACATTCTCCCTTATCTTCTTGTAGAGAATATCTATATATTTATGAATATGCTACATATATTTAATGCTATGTAGAATATCAATAGACTTGATCATATCTGATCATGTTATCTATATTTTCAAGAGAGGTGCACATCTGTCATAATTAGATACATCTTATACACAAACAATTATTTTACTGGTCAGTTTTATGTATTTTGATCATTTCTATGTAAAAATAGGGTTTCTTTATTTTTCATTCTATTCATATTACACAGTCAAATTATAAGAGTAAAAAGCTGCAGGAGGATTATAAATGTTGGATTCATCTATAAGTATGTATTTTAGCTAGCAATAAATGTATTAATTGAAAATTTTATGTACATTATATTCAGCTAAAAATATTTGCCCCTCAAAATATGTCCAAACTTTATGTTCTACACACAATCACTCTAAAAACTGAGACATTATTATTCATTTTACTGAAGAAAAAATATCTAGAAACAATTATAATAAGATACCTCAGGCTGGGCACAGGGGCTAACACCTATAATTCCAGAACTTTGGGAAGCCAAGGTGGGAGAATTGCTTGAGCCCAGGACTTTGGGACCAGCCTGTGGAATATAAAGTCACTTAATCGCTACAAAAAATGAAAACATTAGCCAGACATGATGGCATGTGCCTGTAGTCCCAGCTACTCAGGAGGCTTAGGAGAAGGAATCCTCGGACCCCGCATGGTCAAGGCTGCAGTGAGCCATGATCATGCCACCGCACTCCCAGTCTGGATGTTCTGGACAGTGTGAGACTCTGATTCAAGAAAAAGATAAATACTTCCCATTGATTAAAAGTACAGTGCATTAATTAGTCCATTATATCCATCTTTGTGAAAGATACGTTTTGATTTTTTATTACTTTTTATTAAATACCTCAAACAATAAAATTAAAAAATATTTAAGTCTAAACAAGTAAAAGATAATTGGGTTTTGTTTATTTGTTTGAGGCAGTATCATTTAAACAAATCTTTTCAAACATATACTATGGTCTAACACACCACACTACCAGCAATATTTTTTTTTCAGAAAGAATCTTTCAAATTTGGAAGTATTTAAATATCTGTGTTTGGGGACGGGGCTTCATGTAGGTACATCTGTTATACAAGTGACGGCAACAGATGCAGATGACGCCAACTATGGAAATAGTGCCAAAGTGGTCTATAGCATATTGCAAGGACAACCGTATTTTTCAGTGGACCCAGAATCAGGTAACAACATTTAAACTTGGCCTAGCTCTCATTACATAATACAGCCAGATGCATAATTATTTTAGAAACTTTTCTATATTTTAAAACCTATACATTCATATTTTTATGTTTCCTATTGTTATTTAATAAAAGCAACAGTAAACTTTCTAATATTTAAATAATTTACTTGAATTAATATATATCTCTTTAAACTATTACTTATTGGGTTAAATTTAAGACATTAGATACAACATTTTAAAGAGATTCAGCACATTATGTAGCTTAGAAAATGCTCGTAACTTGAATGTGACAGTTGTCAAAATTAAGCAAACGTATTTGTCTAAAGATTTTTGACTGAAGTTAATTTTTAAAATCAAAGGAACAAATAGACTGATTTAACAAAACCCATTTTGTGAACCATAGCTCATGGCAGAATTCTTTCTGTGAATTAATTTAAGGTGGTTATAGATTGAAAGAAATATCTAAGTACACTGACATTTTATTTGTTTGATAAGATTAACTTCTGTGAGATAGATCTTGTATAGCCTAAATTTAAAACTCAGTGGTGTAATTGCAAAACTTTTGTCTACTTTTTCTAAAAGGCATAATAAAAACTGCATTACCAGACATGAGCAGAGAAAATAGAGAGCAGTACCAGGTGGTTATACAGGCCAAAGACATGGGCGGCCAGATGGGAGGTCTTTCTGGAACCACCACAGTGAACATCACTCTGACAGATGTCAACAACAATCCTCCTCGATTTCCACAGAGTAAGGAAGATTTCAGTGACTGTGTTGAAAATCTTCTCAAACACATTACTAACAGAGTCAAATATACATACTAGTAGTTCTACTATTAGTTTATGTAAAAAGGCAAATCTACAACCCCTTATTCCACCAAAAAAAATCATAATTTCCCACAAATTGAAAGTAATGATAATCATTTTCATCATTTTTTCAGTAGGTAATTAGAGAAAACAAAGATATGCAATTCTTTGGCAGCTGTAATTATCCTTTGTGACCTTTTGGAATGTTATAAAGTTTTTCAGACTTCCTTTCCCACCTTTTTCTATGATCATCTTAATCTTTTCCTTCTGATCTCTCTCCTGATTAGAAGTATAAGAGTTCTCATGTCTGGTTGCCTGGATTCAAATCTTGTGACTGTCACTTGCGTCAACTATTCTGTTTGTATAAGAATCATAACCTTCATGTAATTGAATCTGAAATACAGACTTATTGATATTTTAAAATTTCTGAAATCAGATTCAATGTTAAAATCAAGACAAGTTGGTTTAATCAGCAGCATTTTTGTATTTCTTAGTGGCCCATAGTGTTATGGTTTACCTTGGTTGTGGTGGTATCTTAAAGATATTAAAGTTTGGTATTATCTATATTATGGAGTTATGAAGACTAAACTAATTAATATTATTACAGTTATCATCATTTTAGGATATGCTTTAAACCATAAATATTTCACATTCCATGAGATCTTACAAAAACAGATTTTTATTCTACGCTGAAAAAAAAATATTTTGCAGTGAATAAGTACATAAAAGACTTTGTCTTTAAATATTCAGTGAAGCCTGAAGTTCAAGTTCATTTCAATGATTTCAATACAGTAAAATGTTTTTTCAAACAAATCAAATTTAAAATATTTGATTGAGCAATGACAGGTATACCCCTATAATTGTTGTTAAACAACAGTGTTTGCTGAAAACATGTATAGCAAGCCTAAGTAACAGAAACCTAAACTTGGCATCAAAATTCTTTCACTATAAACTGAAAGAGCATAAATTGATGAATTTTTAATGTTTTGCTCCTCATAATTCTATGATCTATTATAATGTTAACAAAAGGTTTGAAACTATACTAATAAGAGTAATATGCTGATGACAAGATACTGTAATACTAAATGCACTACAGACATAATTTCATACGATCCACATAATAAATTTGTGAGTTAATTACCATCATTATTTTATAGATGAAGACATCAAAATATAGAGAATTTAACCTTTTCCCAGTGGTGATAATGCAAACCCAGGCAATTGGATTTTTAAGATTACAGTCTTAGCCACCAAACAAACTGAAAAAATACAAACATTGAAGTCAGAAAGATAGTTTGATATTTTATTTTTCCCAAATCTGTAGGATAATTTACTAGAGGATTAACCCTGAAAATTATATACTTAAATTGATCCTATAGGACAAGTATGAGGATCAAATATATTAACTTAGAAGGCCTTCAACTTTATACAGACTTTAAATAGAGTTCGGCACATAATAAATGCTTAAAAATACTTGACTTTCATTAACATTTTTAAATGTTTTCCCTATTGCCCCTTAAATAAATAGTCAAAAACGCAAATAGCTTCAAGGACAGCAGAATGCAATATAATAATTGGCTGGACCTACAGAAAATAGAAAAATCTATGTCACATTTGTTGAAATTAAAGCAAACAAAAAGATGTTGCTGTGTGTGGAATTAATCTTTACTTTTGATTTAGAATAAAAGAATCAATGCATGTCCTTTCAAATAATTAAATATATATCAAAATGTGTAATGACAATTTTGAAAGCCCAAACCGAAAAATATTGTTTTTCATGTTCTTTTAAGTAAAAAGTTCTGGATTCTAATATCAAGCTTATCATCTATTATCTAAATAACCTTGAAACATTTACTTAATCTTTCTGGGACTTATATTTCTCATTTACAAAATGAGAGTGTTCTGCTGTTTTCAATTATTTTTCCAACTTCATAAATCTATAATTTTTGACAGCTTACAATTCAATATGATAAAAAAAAAACTTGCCCAATTTAAAATTAATGCACTTAAGTAAAAAAGGTAGAGGAAATGAAAGAATTTTGTTATCTCAAGATGAAATGTCAAAGCAACTCTGATTTAATTTGCAGGTACGTATCAATTTAATTCCCCTGAGTCTGTACCTCTTGGAACACATCTTGGAAGGATAAAAGCCAATGACCCTGACGTGGGAAAAAATGCTGAGATGGAATATAGCATTGCTGAAGGAGATGGTGCAGACATGTTCGATGTCATCACTGACAAGGATACACAGGAAGGGATTATAACTGTCAAACAGGTTTCTTTTCACTGTCTTCATTTTTTCATTGAGTGCTTTATAGTTTATTTTTACTTTTCAGTAAAGGAAAGAAAAACCTGGGATTTATTTTTCTCCTATCTTTTACACGCTGTCTATCCTTCATGTAAGTGGGAATAGCTGTAATCTCACTTCAAATAAGTTAAATATCTTCATCATTGACACAAAATGGTATAAAATCTCAACTGCTTATGCTTACAGTAAACAACAATCAAACTAAAATTAGATAACCTCAAAGGTACTTGTTTTGTATTTTTCTATGGGAGAAAAGATATACATGCAGCCATCACTCTTATTTCATGTAATTTTCAAAATGTTTTAATTGTAAGTATGATAGTCTATTCAAATAAATGGAAACTGAGGATGCTAAGTGTTTTATGTTGGTTGTGTTGATTTTTAATGCAGTGTAGGAGAATGTTCTAAAGCTTTACATATAATAATCTAGCTCAATTTTTTTATATTGACATCATTTCATTTTAATTTATTATCTTGCTTTTATTATCTTGCTTCGTTCACAATCTTGCTAGGATTAATAAAATGTAAATACTTTTTTCTATACTTGTTTTTTCATCTCACTTTAAATGTGCATAACTTTAAAAATAATGAAAACACATAATATATACATCCATTATATAACACCACAACTGTGGTTTAAAAAATTGAAGTACATTACTAAGTGAAAATGTATATTAATGTCTATGTCATTTTATTTGCTTAGTCCTATCAATAGATGTAAAACAAAACAAATATTTATTAATTTGTTTTATATACCTATGAAGCAATGATTGGAAAAATTACTTAATCAGAATTTTTGGTATCATTAAGATAGTTGGTCATTAATTTTGAGACTGTCTTCCATTATTTTGTTTTACAAATCATGCTAATTTCTCTTGTTTTATTTAACTTCAGAATTTAGATTTTGAAAACAAAATGCTGTATACTATAAGAGTGGATGCAAGTAACACTCACCCTGATCCACGATTCTTACACCTGGGACCTTTTAAAGATACAGCTGTGGTCAAAATATCCGTGGAAGACATAGATGAGCCTCCTGTATTCAGTAAAATCTCCTACTTAATAGAAGTGGATGAAGATGTAAAGGAGGGCAGCATCATTGGACAGGTTACAGCATATGACCCAGATGCCAAGAACAATTTAATCAAGTAAGTATTTTGAGAAGTATTCATGTTTGTAAAATATAATTATCTTCTTACTACTTACAAACTGTGTGGGGAAAAATGATGTTACATAATGTATACTCTAGCACAGTAATAATTCCAAATACAGTCAGAGCATAAACTCTTCTTTAGGCTGTCTTCAAAATGCCCTGGGTACAAGATAGATCCTATTATGATGTCTTTTTGGAAATGATAAGAATGAGGCACTGAGCATTTAAATAATTTGCCTAATAGTGTCAAAGCTGAATTTAAGAATCAGTTCAGCTCCAGAGTCAGTAATCTTAATTCCTTTACTGTTGATGTAATGCTTGTCTCATTATTGCTCTTGGTTCAAACTTCAAATTAAAAAATGAACTAAAGAAATAAATTGGTTAAAAAAATCACTTGGTTTTTAAAGAAATGTTGAGATATCTTCATTCAAAAATTGTCACTAATGCTTACCATTTATCAAATTATTGGAGAAACAATGAGTCAATTATACCTTCCTAACAACACAGAGTATTTCTAAGGAAGTAATGGTATTTAAGTCAATAAGAAAGATAAAAGTATTAACTATTAGTATATATAATACTTGTCCAAAATTGGAATAGTTTCACCACTTAAAAGTTTTCATATATGCCAGGAACTTAAATGATTCTTACAAATTGCTCTACAAAAACTGTAAATATAGTTGTGATGTACAGAGATGAGAGGAGTGGGTGATGATAGATAAATATGTGGAAAAAAGATATAAAAGCTTAAGTGATAGATAGATAATACATTAATATGTTAAATGTATGGCTAATACAATATCTAAAATTCTACTTTGCTTAAAATTGAATTAATTATAGGAGATTATATTACCTTGACAGAATTTTTATCACTGTATATTAAACATTTACTTAAAATGCTCAAAGCAAAACTCTTGGAATAAAATGAGAAATCATCTAGTTTTCCAATGACCAATGTATTTGTATGTTCATATCTAAAACGATGTAGATTTATATTTTATTGAAATGATATATGACTGATTGGTTTTGTGTCTCATATGCAGATTTATTTTAAAAAGTATAAATTATGATCATGGTTTTTACAATATTGAAATAAAAACATATACCCATCTACTTTTAAAAATGATAAAGGGTTTGTAGATACTGGGTGTACCAGTAGCTACAAATGTTCAGTAAGTGTCTGGTTTTGATGGTTTATGCCAAATCTCATAAAATGTTATCAGTGGTACCTGTGCCTTCTTCATTTCTCCTTAACATTTGTTGTGCCAAATGTTTATGCTAGGAATCCTACATTCATTTAAAAAAGTAATTGATAGTAACTTTTTTCCACTGGCAATCATACAGTATTAGAAAGTTGCGGACAATGGCAGTATATATGAACTCTCAGATGATGAAGCATGTTATTGGACGTGAACATGTTAACGTTTCTGGATGTTCGTTCATTTCTGCATCTGAATGAGACTACGTGTTAATAATAATAATTTGTACATGTTTTCCAATACTTCTAGCACATTTACATATTAAAAATGCAAAAAATATATGTTACCTTGTGAGCAGCATGCTAACTCTTCCATGTGGTCAAGGGCATTTGTTCATTTATTTAGATCATGGATCTTATCAAGCTTTGTCTGTTCTTTAACCACTTTTCTTCACAAATGTTTTCATTTTGTCATTAAGTCCTATAATATGTAACAAGATATATGTTCTGTTTGTCAAATTCTGGCATAAAATTCATGACATTTAGACTGTCAAACATTTTTTCTATTGTTTCTTTTATAAAATAATAGTTATCATTTATTGAGATATTGCTCTGAACCAGAAACTGTTTAAAGAACTTTATATGTATTTGTTCATTTAAGCTACACTATATTTGATAAGGCAGGTACAATTATCATAACCTCCACTTTATGTGAGAATAAACTGAGATGCCTTCTCAAAGACATAGCACAAATAACTTCCAGACCGAAAATTGAAACTATTGTCTATCTGAGTACAAATTCAATTTGTTAGCAAATATAAAGTATTCTGATATCTGACTTGACTATTAGATAGAAATAATTAATACAATATTCCTCATTTGATTATTAGATAGAGATAGTCAGTACAATGCTACTCATTTGTTACTCTAACTCAGCTGATCTCAGTGGTTCTAAGCAGAGAGCCCTCAAGTGCAAAACTATGGAAGAGGCAAAATCCAGCTTCTGGTTCTTAGACTTTGATGTAATTTTTTTCCATAACTACAACATGGAATTTTATAAACTGACATTATGGACATGTTATCTTAGGAAACTATGATTCTTTTTATATTCTTATTTTTTAAGCATTATTGAGGTATAACTGACCTGCAGTAAACTGTACAAATGTAAAGTGTATGAGTCGAAACATTTTGTTGTATTTATACTTCTGTATAAACACCAAAATTAAGATAATGCAATATCCTTTACCTCCCCAAATTTTCTTCCGGCTCTTTATAATGGCTTCTCCTGAACCATCCCTGAACTCCACCCTATCCCAAGGCAAACACTAATCTGCTTTCTGAAAATAGATTAGATTTTATTTATAGGATCTTATATAAATGAATCCTCTGTATTCGTTTACATAAGCATATATTCTTTTTTATGACTTATTTCACTTAGCATAATTATCCTGAGTTTTTTGATGTTGAATACATAAGTGATTTCATTTGTTTGCTGAAAGTATAGGAATAACACAACTTGCTTATGTTTGTTTACTGATTGATATTTTGTGTTTTTTACAAGACTTGGAAATTATAATACATTTATACAAATTTGTATGCAACTTCACATGTATACATTTGCACAACCAGTATTTATATAGCCACAGACTTTCATATCTCTTGCATAAACACCTAGAAGAGTATGGCTGACAACATGGGAAAGATATGCTTACAATTCAAGAAACTGATAGATTGTCCAAAGCAGTCGTACCATTTTACAATCCCACCATCACGAATGAGGGTTCCAGTTTTTCCACATCTTCACTGATACTTGGTACAGTCAACTTCTCTGTAGTCATTCTAATTGATGTGTAATAGTATCTCGTTTTGGTTTTACTATTTGTTCTCGTATGGTTAATGACTTCAAATACTTTTATATTTTTATGTGCCACCCATATTTGTTCATTGAGTAAGGATGTGTCTATTCACATATTTGCCTATAATTTACTGGGTTGTCTCTTTGATATTGAAACTGGTTATACATACCGAATACAGTCTTTTATCTCATATGCATCCTACAATTTCTCTTCCAATCATTGGCTTGTATTTCTATTCCCTTAAAGTGACTTTTAAAAAGCAAATTTCTTAATTTTGATGAAATATAATTTACCAAGTTTTTATTATTAAATTTGAATGTCTAATTCAAGGTAATATTCTATTTATATTATTTATTTTAAATTAATTTTGTGTCTGTTGTAAGGTATGGATCAAAGGTTTTTGCTTTGTTTTGTTTATTTAGTATATGAACAGTTCATGTTTCTAGCATTTTTTTGTTGCAAATATTATATCTCTGCTGAATTATTTATGCAGCATTGTCAATATGTATATCGGTCTATCTCGGGACAATCTCATATATTTCAATTATCTATTTGTCTGTGTTTACAAAATACTACATTTTATGTAGCTCTGTAAAAAGTCTTGAAAGCATATGCTTTTTGTCCTCTTATTTATTTTTTCTTTGTTTTGTCCATGTAATTTGTCAGTTTTTTATTGTAAAAATGTGAAATACAAGTAAGGACATGGTACATAAGTAGTTTATGTGCAGGTGAAGTTTGGGCCCTCAGCTGGTTCTCACTTCCCCTGGTTTAGGATCAGTGATATTATAATAATATATAATTGACATAATTATATATTTATAATTATAACTGACATAATAACCCCCCCCACAGTATCCCACTACTGCTGATGATCCTCTCTTATTGTATTATGATAAATGTTCAGGACCCACTGCTGTTGTTTCAAACTTGTTGGTCTTTCTAGACTCCTTGCATTTTATATGTCAGTTTCTACAAAAGAGTCCACCGGAATTTTGACTGCGATTGTGTTGAGTCTGTAGATCAATGTAGGCAGAGTTAAAACTTTAATAATATTGAATATATTAACCCATAAAAACACATATCTTTCTACTTTGGGAGGATTCTTTTCAATAATATTTTGTGGTTTTGTTTGTATAGGTCAAAAATATATTTTGTCAGATTTACTCTAAGATTACATATATGTTGTTGCTATAATGCATGCGTTGTTTTTATTTTAACTTCTGATTTTTTGTTGTTTGTATATATGCATTTTTGTATATTAATCTTGTGTTCTACAACCTTTGCTAAATTCACTGATTGGTTCTAATAGAGTTTTATATAGATTCCATCATTTTTTCATGATAATAATTATGTCTTCTGAGACTATGAACAACTTTTCTTACTTTGTTTCCAGTACAGACGCCTTGCATTTCTTAGTATTACCTTATTTCACTGGCAAGAACCTACAGAACAATGTTGAATAGAAGTGATCAGAGCAGAAATCTTTGCCTTGTTCCTTGTTTTATGAGAAAATTATTTCGTCTCTTACCATTTGATATGATGCATTTGTTGGATTTCTTCATTTAATTTGTATATTATTTGTAAACATGATTAAATTTTCTACTATTCCTTGTGTTTTGGCCATTTTTATCAAGGATAAAATTTAGATTTTTTGTCAAATGGAATTTTCTGTCTACTGAGATGATTACATGCTTTGATAAAATTTTATATTGTTTGGATTGATGTTTGAGATATTGAACAAGCCCTACATTCTTGGGGCAAGTGCCACTTAGACACATTTGAATTTATGTTTATAAGGGAAATTATCCTATAGTCTTGCTTTTCTGTAATGTCTTTGTCTAAATTTGGTGTCATAAAAATATTACCTTATAGAATGCCGTAGGATGTATGACATCTTCAGTTTTCTGAAAGAACGTGCATAGAATTGGCCTTTTCCTTAAA